ATCTTATAAAAAGACTAACTTTTTGTTGAGTTTATTATAACACCTGGAGTTGTAATAGATTCGGTCACAATGAAGAAAACAATTTCTAACCCAACCTGAAGGCTTCATTGCCAAGGGTCAGAAAAACAAAGTCTGCAAACTTGTTAAATCTTTGTATGGACTTAAACAAGATCCTAAACAATGGCACCAAAAATTTGACAGAGTTATTACATAATATGATTTCACTGTGAATGAACACGACAAATGTGTTTACTCAAAAGTGTTAATAATAACTATGTCATACTCTGTCTCTATGTTGATGATATCATTATCTTTGGAACATCTCTTGAACTAATTTTAAAGGTGAAGGGTTATCTTTCCAAGAACTTTGATATGAAAGACTTAGGTCTTGCTGATATGATACTTGGAATGAAAATCACTAGAGACACTAGGGGAATATTTTTGAGTCTTTCTTGCAATATTGAGAAAATGCTGATCAAATTCAACTATCATAACTCTAAACCTGTTTCCACACCTTATGATTCTTCTATATCCTTGAAGAAGAATGAAGGCGAACCTGTCTCTCAGCTGAAGTATTCTCAGATGATTGGATCTCTTCTATACATATCCAACCAGAACAGACCCAATATAGCTTATGTTGTAGGGAGACTGAGCTGGTATACCAGTAACTCTAACTTAGATCACTGGTCTGCCTTAGAGAGAATATTCAAATACTTGAAAGACACATTTGACTATTGCTTGACTTACATTGGATACCCTAATGCAATAGAAGGGTACAATGACGCAAATTGGGTCACAGATTCTAACAGTGTAAAGTCTACATCTGGATATATATTTTGCTGCTATATCCTGAAAATCCAGTAAGCAAACAATAATTGCTAGAAGCACCATGGAGTCTGAATTGATTGCTCTTGATACCACTTGTATAGAAACAGAATGGTTAAAAGATCTTCTCTTTAAACTTCATTTGATCCCTGTCACGCCCCGCTTCCCAAAATACCAGGGGAATCGGAACGTGAACAAGCCCGTGACGTATTAGGTTGAGTAGAAATAAATAATAAAACTCTTTCTACTCAATCTAATACGCTAAGCATCAAAAATATAATATACGAAGTCACAGGTCCCCGATCACACATAGTAAGAGTATAATGAACAACTCAGAATGGAAAAGATACATATCACAATAGAATATCATCCAAGACACAGAGTTGGGTCAAACACGCCCTTATTACAAAACGGTCCAACTAAAAATATAAAAATACATAGTCCAATAGAAATAAAAGGAAAGTACTACTAAAACAACTAAATCCAACACCAGACTAAAGTAAGGTTCTGCAAAAGAGATCTAGCGTTCATCAACTACTACATAAAGAAAAGTCTAAGCTTTAGATTGTTCTTCTGATCCATCTGGAAGACCTTACTGCTGCAAATCCTCTGGCTCCTGTACTGTCCCGAACTGAGGCTGTTCATCTCCTAAATCTGACGTACACCAGAAAAAACAGGTGTACGTCAGCATGTATGGCACACGGCAAGATCCCACAAGGAAAAATAGGAACAGTCGAACGACCAAAGCAAAAACAGTGATAATAATAATAATAATAATATGCAAATGAATTACTAATAATCTAAATGCAATCTATCACTGAAATAAAATCATCAGAAGAATCTAAGGAAATCATCCAAGTGTCAAGATCACGCAGCTAGCCAACAGGGTAATCATCCAAGTATCCAAATCACACAACTAGATGGAATTAATACTTAAATACCTATAACTTGAGACGTAGTACGTCGAGCGAAATAATCCAAACAAGGAAACCCTCATGTATATACCTTATGTCTCAAAGTGTAGATAATTAATTATTAATCCCGATCTATGTATGAACAGAAATACAACTAGTCTACATCTCATAAAACCAACAAAGTCCACCATAAAACACGCAAGCATATTATTCTTGTTTTACATGTTATTTGAATTGGAGAAGAATATTTTCATATATATAATCGGGTCCCCGTAAAGTCGTCCGGGGGCCGTCCTCAAGTCAAGTTTGGCTCTCCGACCCAAGTATATATATATATAACTCACAATATCAAGAAAGCGCATATGCCCGTTTATATAAATGTGATATTCTTCATCCAAATCCCCTTTATATCCCCATGTTTATCAGTTTAATTAAGTAACTGTACATGAAATATCATGCACTAACCACAGAGTAACCGTGGAACGACTTCTGTAAAACTATGAAAATAATCGTGACCCACAACACGTCCGATCAAGAGTGCATCGTCTAGTCGATGCTATAATAATAATAATAATCAAGGAAACCTCATACCGGGATATCGATATCGAGGGAACTCAGGACTCCTCACATCAGGATATCGATGTCGAGTGAGTATAGCCATGCTTTGAAGCACGCTTATAAATCATACTTTTAACAGAAGTCGTCTTCACGTACAGTCTCTCCTATTGGATAACAACTAAGTGATAACACAACAAGCTTCCACACAGCTATTCATGTCAAGCAATCCCACGCATGTAATAACAATATACACTATAGCTAATCATATCACAGTGTAATCTACGCAATCAATTAATAACGGATATAAATAATGGAATAACAAGCCAAGGGAAAACGAGATCTTGCCTGCGAGACCATGGGGTCTGATGACGAGGCAGTGATGCCACAACGGATGCGGTACAACGAATCTGAACGGCACAGTCAACGGCGGATCTGAGGTTGATTGAGCGGTGTATCTGAACTGCGACGTCGACGGCTCGAGCGGGATGAGGGCAGCGGCATTGACGATGGGTTTAGGGCTGACAGAGGTCGGTGGCTATAGGCAGGTTGCTGCAGGGGTCGGAGCAGCAGCGACGGGTGGAGCTCAGGCGACGGATCTCAGGGAAGGACGGAGAGGAGGGGCTGCTGGTGGCGAAGGAGGCTGGGGTGGGCCGGAGATGGAAGAGGGGACGGGGGGCTTAGGCCTGGGCTGCGACGATGACGGCCACGGGGCTTGACGGCGAGGTGAGTTCAGCGAGGGAGGCTGCTATGGCGGCGAGAAGGCAGAGGCCGACTAGTTTCGTGGTTGTCGGCGAACTGGGCCGGGTTCTCGACTTGGGGCAGGCGGCGAAGAGAGCTGAGGCGACGGGTGGTGCAGGGGATGGAGGAGATGGCGGCTTAGCGTCGGGCTCGAGAGGTTCACGGGCGGAGGAGAGGGTGGAGACGGCAGGCGGCGAGTAGGGAGAGAGGGCGTTTGGCAAGACGGAGTTCGGGCGGTTGGGTGTCGCGGTCGTCAGAGCAGCGGCTAGGGTGGCGTTCGTGCGGCGAAGGGAGGGGGGTCATCTGGGATGAGATTAGAAGTTGGGTTGGGGTTTTCTTTTTTTTGGGTTCTCTGGAATTGAGAGAGAACGAGAGGGAAGAAGAAATAAGAGGAGAGAGAGGGTGATTGGAGAGAGAAGGAGGATGAGCTGGATTTGAGGGATATTATTAGAGAGAGAAAAGAGTAAGAGAGAGTGTACATCAGGGATTTGAAAAGATATTGGAGAGAGAAAGGAAGGGATTTGATTTGATTACGGGAGAATTATTTGGTATGATTTTGAAAATGAGAGAAAATAGAAAGAATGATTTATGGCTGGAGAAAATCATGGGGAGTGATTTGAGGGAATGAATGGGAAGAGAGAGTACGGGAATTAGGGTTAATTAAGTTAAAACAAAATTAATTAAAAAGAAATAACTAATGATATTTAAAAATTAAAATAAATACAGGATAATTATCTACAAATAAAAATGTACTTGTTGTGCTAATACAACAGTTGATACGAAATAGTCGAAATATATCCATATTGTATAATTTAATGAGAATAAATAATAATAATAATATATTTACTTATATTTAAAATCAAATAATTATGTGACAATTATCTACACGATAAAACGTACCAGTTATGCTAATACGACGGCTGATACGTAATAATTAAAATAATACAATAATTTACACAAATAATACGTAATTAATAATTCAACACAATACAAGAATTAATACGTAATAGTAATAATAATACGGCATATTATTTAAAATAATACGTAATAGTATCAGTAACACAACGGATAAATCCCAAAAATTTTCACTACACTAAATAAATTTATAAATATTTAAATCATTTAAATAAATATAAAACCTTGACTTTAAATCATAGAAAATTGTAGAAATTCGAGAAAAATATAAATACTATTTTAAAAATCATAATTAAATATTTTAAAATACTAAAAATTTATTTCAACTATTATTAAAATTCATGGTCCTTACATTCTATCCTCCTTAAAACAAATTCCGCACTCGGAATTAAAATAAGAACCCAAGGATAGATATGGAACGATGTCCATAAGCAGAGGAGACAAGAAATAGTGGGAAGCTCCGGGGTCAAAAGTGCTAAAGTAGGCACGGAAGAAACAAGAGACTTGCCTATTACATGAGGAGGTAAATGCAACTAAACTTAGCACTCATAAACAAGTCCTATTATGATATCATCAGGTAATGCTAAATAAAGAAAATTTCATATGCAAGTAAAACTAAGAGTGAACAGTTCTTACCAATGATAACCTGATCGTTCGCCTCAGCTTCTGCGGCCGTCATCATGAATGTCTGTCGTAATGGTTGTTGCCCTCACGCCTGCTGAAATACCTGTCTCTACGGGGGAAGAGGCCCTACTCGGGGATAGGATCCTTGCTGAGCTGGTGCTGCTGGGCGAGGTGGAGCTGGAAGAGCTGCCCGAACTGGAGGAGGTGGCAAATGGACCTGTTGCTTATGCGGACAATTCGGACTGAGATGGTTGGGGGACCCATAGGTGTAGCACAAACG